ATATATATGCATGTTTATACAAGTGTACTATATCAACACATGCATTCAATAGAGCACGGATCACCTCATTCGTCGCAGCTTTTTCACCCATATTTCCCAATGCTTCTGATGCACAGTTTCGAACATACGCATTTTTATCACATATTGCATTCGCTAGAGCACTGATGACCTCATTCGTCCATGCCTTTTCGCCCATCTTTTTCAATGCTTCCATTGCATTCCGTCTAACGCCCTCATTTTGATCCCGCATTGTATTCGCTAGAGCACTGATCACCTCATTCGTCAATGCTTTTTCACCCATCTTTCCCAATGCGTTTGATGCAGTCTCCCGAACAATCCGATTTTCATCGTCCATTGCATTCAATAGAACAGCAATCACCTCATTTGTCGCTGCCTTTTCACCTATCATTCGCAACCCGTCTGATGCATTAAATCGAACACCCCGATTTTCATTGCACATTGCATTCAGTAGAACATCGATCACCTCATTCGTGGCTGCCTTTTCCCCCATCTTTCCCAATGCTTGTGACGCATGCACTCGAACACGCCAATTTTCATCACCCATGGCATTCAATAAAGTACCGATCACTTCATTTGTCGATGCTTTTTCACCCATCTCTGCAAATGCTTCTGATGCTCTCTCTCGAACATCTCTATTTCCATCGCACATTGCATTCACTAGAGCACCGATCACCTCATGCGTCACTGCTTTTTCACCTATCTTTGCAAATTCTTCTGATGCTTTCCATCGTACATGCCAATCTTCATCGGCCATCGCATTCACTAAAGCATTGATCACCTCATTCGTCGCTGCTTTTTCACCCATCTTTCCCAATGCTTCTGATGCATTCCATCGAACGACCCAATTTTTATCGCACATCGCATCCAGTAGAGCACCAATCACCACATTCGTCGCAGCTTTTTCGCTCATATTTCCCAATGCTTTTGATGCAATCTCTGAAACACTCCCATCTTGATCGCGCATTGCATTCGCTAGAGCAACGATTACCTCATTCGTCGCAGCTTTTTCACCCATATTTCTCAATGCTTCTAATGCATTCCATCTAACACCCTCGTCTGGATCGCGCATTGCATTCGCTAGAGCACTGATCACCTCATTCGTCCATGCTTTTCCACCCATCTTTTTCAATGCTTCCAAGGCATTCTGTCTAACACCGCGATCTTGATCACGCACTGCGTTCGCTAGAGCACTGATCACCACATTCGTCGCAGCTTTTTCACCCATCTTCGTCAATGCTTCTAATGCGCACTTTCGAACATCGTAATGTTTATCGCACATTGCGTTCGCTAGAGCATTGATCACCTCCTTTGTGGCAGCTTTTTCGCCCATATTTCCCAATGCTTCTGATGCACACTTTCGAACATAATAATCTTTATCATCCATTGCATTCACTAGAGCTGAAAGATATCTTGGGATTGGATAAGATATTTCTAAAGCGCATATGATTCGGAATATTCCGGTTTTCGTGTGTTTTCCTTTGGAATCCATGAGCTGTGTGAATGTGTTTTGAAGCATCTCCGTGTTGGTGAGATTGGTGGCGCGCTGAAGTGATTGCAGCAAATATTCTTGAACTATGTGTTGCTTTTGAGTGGCGCAAATCGCTATCCACAATGATATGGATTTAAGATAAGTGGTACGCTCTGGAAATACTGTTTGCTCGGTGAGCTGGTCAATGCACTCAATGAGAAGCTTTGTGTGCTGTAATCCAAGTAGATCGACTGGTTCACCAATGAGTGCTGTGAAAAAAACGTTCCGGGCTGCTCGGAAAGTTGATTGTGCCAGAAGACCTGCGGCAAAGATGAGGACAAGGCGTAAGCGTTGATTGTACTTGTAATTGTTGATAAAGTCGATTGCGTTTTGATGATTCGAGCTCATGAGAAGTTTTAGTAAGTGGCGCCCCGCAAGATGCTCTTGGAAGCTGAGATGAACAAAATAGTGTTGTTTCTTCATTTCGTTGTTCTCGCCAGTAAGCTTATCATCATATGACTTTAAAATACCGAAATTGAGTATTGGTCGTAATTGTTGCAAGGCGCATTCTTGTTGTGTCTCCTCGAGAAGCCCTGGAGGTAACATTATTTGGTTCATTTCTATCGCTTTAAAAGCCAAATGCTGTAAAAATTCCAACTGGTTTTTACATTTCTCATGCTCGAAGACGTCTGACTTCGTCATATCTTGAATATCTATATTTTGTTTTTGCAAATATCGCCGACATAACCATTCTATTATGTTGTCATATAATTCTGTCACAGTCAACATCGTCGTTTTAGACCAACCCGTATTACTCCAAGCGGTACATATTAACTCAAGGTTTACGGGAATATGTGCAACACCCCAAATACTAGGATTTAACTTTAAGAATCGCTTAATCTTTTGGGTTTCAGCCGGTGCACTACTCATTTCATCCCTGAGCTGATCGAAGAACAGTTCAACATACTTGTAAATATTATCATCTGTGAATCCGATTATTTCCATTTTGACGTCGTATGATGGAATTGCATAAGGACGAGACGTCAATATATGATGGTGCGTTGTGCTGATATGATCAAGCACATCTTTTAAGTGTTGTGGAATGTTTTGTGCGACCTCATCGTAACCGTCTAATATCCAAAGAACTTTGCCGTTTTTACATTGTCCGTTGAAGTATTGCTTTTCTTCTCTCGATATATCATCATAGGGAAAATATTCATTATTGACTATATCACTTGGTAAATATTTTGTTCCTTGTGGATAGCGATTGTCTGTTAGTTTTCGTAAATGAATCAAAACAAGTAGCTCATATTCAGGCCAGAGTTCACCTTTGGCCCATCGATAAGTAATATATTGACAAAATGTTGATTTTCCAATTCCAGCTCGTCCGAGTACGAGGACTTTTTTGGTCGTGCCCTTGCATTTCTGGAAAATTTCTTCCACATTGATGGAGGTTTTGGTTCCATAAATCTCCTCGTAAGTGCCAAGAATCTCATTGTAGTGATGTGGTAAACGATTATCCTGCTCATTTTCTGGATCAAGCATTTCGTATTTGTCTTGTTGTTTTAGTTTCTTCTCTTTTTCGTGCTGTTCTTTGGTTTCTATCATAGCCAAGTTAATGTAACTTTGCTCAATAGGGAAACTTTCTTCATTCACCATACGTTTGATTCGATTTTCCTGTAGATATTTTTCTCGAATCAGTTCAAAAAATTTACGTGGTGCAGAAGCGTCTTCCCCCACCGGAACTCCAGGTTTAGTCTTCATGTTACCAACCAGTTCATTATTTTCTTCACCAACCAGTTTATTCTTTTCTTTACTAGCCAGTTCATTCTTTATGTTAACCAGTTCACTCTTTATGTTATCAGCCAGTGCTTTCGCTTTCAATTGAATATTCACATCACTGTCATCAGAGAAATCAATGGCTATTATGGAGCCGGTGATCAAGTCCAACTACTTGTCTCGGGATGGTTTCCATATTTTTCTGTCGGTCATCATACATGGGATGATATGTTTGTGAAGTCTCTGAGCCATCTCTAATTCTAGTTTGCAAGGCGGAGAAGCTTCGTATTCTGGTGTCAAAAAACAGCAGACGATTAAAGCATTGCTTACCGCTTCAGACATACTAAATATAAGAATAGCACAATTACAGTACTTGAGAATAGGGGTGGACCATTTTTTTTAACGGAACTTAATTAATGACATTAATTAATGACTTCCATTAGCCATTAATCTTAATGCTTAATGTTTTCTAAGAAAAACTTAATTCATTAATATTAATGA